TGCTTTTGAACTGTGGTGTTGGAGAAGACTCTTGAGAGTCCTGTGGACTGCAAGGAGATCCAACCAGTCCATTCTAAAGGAAATCAGTCCTGAATATTCATTGGAAGGACTGATGTTGAAGCTAAAACTCCCAATACTTTGGCCACCTGATGCGAAGAGCTGACTCATTTGAAAAGACCCTGATGCTGGGAAAGATTGAAGGCGGGAGGAGAAGGAGAGGACAGAAGATGAGATGGTTGGATGGCATAACCAATTCAATGGACATGAATTTGTATAAACCCCAGGAATTGGTGATAGATAGGGAGGCCTGACCTGCTGCAATCCATGGGATCACAAAGAGTCGGACATGACCGGGCAACTGAACTGAACTGAACTATGTTGGTCATAGCTTTTCTTCCCAGGAGCAAGCATTTTCTAATTTCATGGCTGCAGTCACCATCTGCAGTGATTTTGGAGCCTCAAAGTTCTCTTAGTACATAAAAAGTATGAAAAGTGTCACGAGATGAGGAAAGCTACAGACAATGTAGGTTGTCTTTCAGTTCAGTTCAGTCACTCAGTCGTGTCCAACTCTTTGCAACCACATAGAGTACAACATGCCAGGCCTCCCTGTCCATCACTAACTCCCAGAGTTTTCTCAAACTCATGTTCATTGAGTTGGTGATGCTATTCAACCATCTCATCCTCTGTCCTCCCCTTCTCCCAACTTCAACCTTTCCCAGCACCAGGGTCTTTTCAAATGAGTCAGTTCTTTGCATCAGGTGGCCAGAGTATTGGAGTTTCAGCTTCAGCATCAGTCCTTCCAATGAATATTCAGGACTGATTTCCTTTAGTATGGATTATTTGGCTCTCCATGCAGTCCAAGGGACTCTCAAGAATCTTCTACAACACCACAGTTCAAAAGCATCAATTCTTTGGCACTCAGCTTTCTTTATAGTGCTACTCTCACATCCATACATGACTGTTGGAAAAACCATAGCCTTGACTAGTCGGACCTTTGTTGACAAAGTAATGTATCTGCTTTTTAATTGATGCCTAGCTTGTTCATAACTTTTATTCCAAAGAGCAAGCCTCTTTTAATTTCATGGATGCAGTCACCACGTGCAGTGATTTTGGAGCCCAGGAAAATCAATCCTGTGACTGTTTCCCCTGTTTTCCCATCTATTTGCCATGAAGTGATGGGACCAGATTTCATGATCTTACTTTTCTGAATGTTGAGTTTTAAGTCAACTTTTTTACTCTCCTCTTTCACTTTCATCAAGAGGATTTTTAGTTCCTCTTTGCTTTCTGCCAAAAGGGTCACGTCATCTAGGTATCTGAGGTTATAGATATTTCTCCTGGCAATCTTTATTCCATCTTGTCCTTCATCCAGACCAGTGTTTCTCATGATGCATTCTGCATATAAGTTAAATAAGCAGGGTGACAGTATCCAACCTTGAAGTAATCCTTTTTCTATTTGGAACCAGTCTGTTGTTCCATGTCCAGTTCTAACTGTTACTTCCTGACCTGCATACAGGTTTCTCAAGAGGCAGGTCAGGGGGTCTGGCATTCCCATCTCTTTCAGAATTTTCCACAGTTTATTGTGATCCATATAGTCAAAGGCTTTGGCATACTCAATAAAGCAGCAATAGATGTTTTTCTGGAACTCTTGCTTTTTCGATGATCCAGTGGATGTTGGAAATTTGATCTCTGATTCTTCTGACTTTTCTAAATCCCAGTTGAACATCTGGAAGTTCACAGTTCACATATTGTTGGAGCTTGCCTTGGAGATGTTTGAGCATTACTTAACTAGTGTGTGAGATGTGTGCAATTGTGCAGCAGTTTGAGCACTCTTTGGCGTTGACTTTTTGGGCAACTGGATTGCAGTCCTTCTTTGGCATTGGATTGTTTTTAAAGTTTCCCCATATAAGCTATCACTTAGAATGATTAAACCTTGAGGCATAAAGTTGATTCTCTAGATACTGTTGCAATTATTTTTTGTTCCTCGCTTTCTCAAATATTCTGTCCTAATTAAAGGCTTCCTAAATAAGTGTGTAAATGTTGATTTTTAAATTGCAATAGCAAATTACTTATACCCTCTAAAGCTCAGGAAGCCTTGAAACCTTTTATCTCTTCTTTTGATATCATAATCATGCAATTAAACATCTACAGTAAGCAGATGAGATAATGTAAGCGTAGTCATGTTTTCTTCAGTGTACAAATCAATAAAGCTACTGCAATGACTTTGAGGTCTTATGATGGCGCTACTGAAAATGATACCTATTTAAAAGAGGTATCATGTGCACTAACAGCTGATATTGTTGCTCAACATTTTGGCTATAAAATTTGAGTTACTCTCAGTGTCTTCTTATACTCACAGATTAAAAGAATGCCAAAGTCCAAAGGAAAAAGGAGTCCAGAGGATAAAAGACATACCCTTGAGCTCTATACAACAAAGTTGCTAGAGTCATATTGTCTTATTTTCCAGGTGCCTATGTTCTCCAAGTCAAGGCCACGGATGCTGATGACCCAACCTATGGAAACAGTGCCAGAGTCGTTTACAGCATTCTTCAGGGACAACCTTATTTCTCTATTGATCCCAAGACAGGTAAAATTTTTATTAGAGACAACATTATCACCTCCCCTTCAAATATTTAAACTTTAATTAAATCTTGGCATGGGAATTTGCCTCTTCCAACACCTCAATAAAGATTCAGTGTACTGACTATTAAGCCAAGAAGGACAGATCTTACCTTGCTGCTACAGAGCTAGTTCCTTCAGATTGAAACTGGTATAAAAATAAATCTTTTTCTGCATATATGTCAAGTCCAAATTTGTTAGGAATTCTCTGTATAATTTACTTTAAATTTTCAAAAGGCTAGGAATATTTTTTGTTTGTTTGCTTCTTCTAGCTAAAATAGCTTTTTATTTCAGTTTTTTCCTGGTTGAGTTCAATTATATTCAATTTGGGGGCCAAATCAACTCAAGAATGGAATTTCTATTGTTCTGTTTATCAGGGTTATGGATGGTGACTTTGGATAAACATAGATAGGGGAAAGGAGAGGGCTGACAAACTTGAAACTCCAAGATCACTATTTTTTCTGCTCTATGTTTTTGAATTCAGTCTCACTTTTAAGTCAAACTTCTGAAATTCCAGTTTTCAAAGCCCAATATATAAGAATCTATGGAAAGTATAGGAAGGGTGGGAAAACATGCAGGAAGATTTTGCATTCTCTTTAAAACTAAACAAGGTAGCCCTATTTCTAGAGAATTTGTTTTTGAATAACAATGATTTGCAGGAACTCCAGTCAAGCTGACCAGTGATCAAAGGAGATGCTCTGTGTCACAGTTAAGGCAGAAACCCTATAAAGACGGTTGTTTTATTAATTCATATATACCTCATAACATATTGCCTGGTGAATTCCATACTATTTAACACATTTGTTTAAAGTAATGGAGTCAATTGTTATACTGGACTGATAAATTACTTTTAAAATCTGTAAATAGATCTTTAAAGAGCTACATTGATTTAAAGGTATTCACTTCTGACACTATACATGCAACTGAGTTAAACTTTTCAAAACTTATACTTCCTTGATGTGTGTAGAATCTGGAATATCAGTTGGGCATAGGTTAATTAATAATTAACCATAGATGGATGCTGCCTAGAAACATAAGGTCAATTAAGTGAAAATAAAGAACCTACAAATTTTCTGTCAACTTAACCTGCCATTCTGTCCTCACTTCTCACCTTCTTCATCAAGCCTATAGGGAGACGGAAGCCATCTAAACATTATGAGAATAAACCTGGGAGTTGCTCCCTTTTGTAAATCTGAAAAAAAAAAAAAAAGGCAAATAGTTGTAAAGAGAGTATTAGCCCATTAAGAAGGGAACATCAGTGCTTAAGGAAATACAGAAAGGTTTGGTACAAAGAAACTCTTTTTGTTTGAAAGATCAGAAATCAAAAGCCAGAGTGGAAAATGTTAAGAATGAGTGTGTAATGGGAAGATTATACCTAAAATTTAAGTTATTTTTAAGAAGGAGACAGACAAGATGAGAAGTAAATATTTTCAGTATAGGTACTGAGGAAACTTTGTGGTGGTTATTGTTGTTTACCTTTGGAAAGTTTGTATATTTGTAGGGAAAAAAGGGAAAATTGCTGATAAAAAGTTTGAGAAAGTTGTTTATGATGGTGCAATGCTCCAGAGGAATTAAGAAGGTTTGTACAAAGTGTCAGATGTATAGACAAATAATGAGATTATCAAATATATTATCCATCCTTTTTTGAGATCAAAGCATTATGGGTTATTTTTTTCTGATACAATTATGTTTGGAGAATCTAACAGAAATTGAAGTAAGAACAGCATATGTCTCTTAGATCACTTCAACCTCTGAGAAGCACTTCTCACAGACAGAGAGCATGAGACAACAGGAAAGGAAAGTTTATAGACATTAGTGAGGAGGAAAGTTTTTAGTATTAGGCTAAACTTACTGAGTTTTATTGATTATAAAGAAGATGAGTTTATATACTCAGAATAAATGTGGCAGAAGAAAGATTAAAGATTTAATATTGGCAAAATAACTATAGATGGAGATAATATCCAACTAAAAAAAAACACAAAATATGAAGATGAATTGAAGCATAAATCATGGGCGCAGAGTATAATTACTCTGGTCAAATTAATAATGAACAGACAATTATATGAATCAAATACTCGCCTCCTCTTGATTGTTCAATATCAACTTTAGATAAATTCTAATGTCTTCTCAAAGCATCATTTTACAGAAGAGTGTATATATATTCATCATAAGGCTTTTCTAATTGTGTATTTATATTTCTATATGAGGCCTTTTATTTAGACCTGAAGGTGAAACAATTCTGGTGTGAACTATGGAATAGATTTTTTGAAGCATTGATTTTCACTGGAGACAGAAGTCTTGGTACTAACAATGCCCCAGACCACTAGACAGGAAAAGAGTGGATGGTGAAGCACATCATTAATAGAATGATAACTAGTTCTTCATGCACAGAAACCATTAAGGAGACTTTTTGTCAAATTTATCACCTTGTGGTAGATCAGAATAAATCAAAAATCAAGGGTAATTGCAATTTCTCAGAAATAGCCTCCATTTGTTCCAGCCATATAGCTTCCTTTTATGATTCCTTTTGCTGTTGTGAAATAAAATGCATGAAAAACTAATACTATCTAAAAATTTCCACATTTGACTATAGAAAACAGTTTAAAATAATTTCTAAGTGAAGAGCCTCATCAAAACTTCTGGTACCTAAATATTTATGAAGAGATAAATATAATCATTTACTATTATTCACTTGGAATGATAAAAGTTTTACATTCTCATTGACATTGCTGTTTGACAAACATTCCTTGCATCTCTATCCAATATACAAATAAGGTCAGTTTATTTATAAATGATATAAATTGATGCATTCTATGAAATAAGTCCCCAAATGATAGTTCTTTTTAAAATTGGCTAATTTGGTAATTCTATGACTTACCTAAGAGATTGTTCACTGTGATTAACATTTGCATGCATTCATGTATATGCCTCAAATGATTATTAAACATTTTTAAAAAGCTAAAATGTAGATGGATTTATGAACATCAAATAATATTGATCCTTGTTATATTTTGCATATATTAAACACTAAAATGTTTGTCATATTGACATACTTTTATATGATATATACTATAGGCTTGATATTTATTATATATTAGAAAAATATTTATAATCTATAAAACATTAAATGAGAGGCATCATAATATTTTATTTGATGCATGAAATTGAGAGGATAAATGTTCCCATAGTATTAATATATTATTTTATTTAGGAAAACAAATGTTATTATAAATAATTGATCTCATGACAATTTGCATTTAAAATTCTTCTGAAGTATTTTGAATTTTTCTGTAAATGATTTCAAAATCTAGTCTGAGTTGGATAACTAGATATTGCTATCTTGTGTATCATGTGGTGATATGTTGATTTTTCTAAATAATCTCAGCTCTACCTGAGAAAACCTTATAGGACTATTTTAGCTCAACATATTCTAAAATTTATAAACTTTAAATTGTTTATCATGGTAAAATATACATAACAGAAAATTTACTATTTTAACCATTTTAAGTGTACTTTTCAGTGACATTATGAATGTTCACACTGTGTAAACATCACCACCAGTCATCTTTAGAAATTTGTCATTGATGTCTTTTTGTTTATGTGCACTGTCAAAAAAGTGTATTTATAAGACTTTGCTATGTATTTAATGTGCATTTTGAGAAATCACATGAAAACAACTGAGTGAAAATGGAGTTGCAAGCTTGAGTTGTTTTCTTTATTCTTATATCCACTATCCTAAGATTCCGTGCTCTGTGTTTCTGTCCTTGCTTCTGTTTGGGAAATTTGATAAAATGCCGAGAGAACTGACACTTTCTCAAGACTTTTCCTCTTTCAGTTCCATTAGCACATTTTGTTTAGAGATTATTCTCTTTAAGCCTACTTCCTAAATAAATCCTCCTCCATCCTTACTGATATGTATGTTTTTCAGTCTTAAAAAATGCATTAGTGTTTTAAAGCCCCATACTAAAATTAAAGCATGCGTCAGACTTTATTTTGAATTAATTCTTTATATAAACTACAATATACATATTTACACTGTTTCGTGACTTGAACATGTCTTTGATTTTAAGTCAGAGAAAAGTCTTACAGGATTCAGACATTTCAGTCAGTGCTTGTGACAAACAGATTTTTTTTTACAGGAGTGAAATTGGGAATAGACAATTATTAAGATTCACCAGCATATGCTGTTACCTGTTTTGTAATAATTTGCATATGTACAGTAAATCGCATGATTAAAAATATAACACAGACAATGGTTTCCTTGTAATCTGCCTTGTCACTCTTTATGAAAACTCTGTGTGAACTCTACTTGCCTTATTTTAGAAACCATGGAATGCACAAATCAGCAGATAGATATAACAATATTTGGCCTTGAAAGGAAAATACTCCGGGGTATGTCTTTAGGAAGTTGTAGAACTGTTGTATAGAAGAAGAATTGGCTGTATTCTGTGTTGCACAAGAGTAAAAGGACTGTCAGTGGCTCGTGGGCATTACAGGAAAAAGAATTTTGGTTTCATTAACAAGAAATAGATGTTAATGCTTGTCCATAAATAAGAGGGACAAACACCTCATGAGATGGTGAGCTTCACATTACTGGAAGTGTTAAAGCAGGTAATGAGTGATAAGGTGCTGGATTCTAGTATTAATTCCTTGATCCATATTTATCTATAACCAATGGCCTAGCAGGTTCTGTGTGCCAGGATTCTGAGATGAATCAAGGCGATCCTCAAATAGAACCCATCTATCTGAAGGAGGTCATCGTGTCTTCAGAAAATTACGTTTGGGTTTCCCAGGATACAATTCTATGATACATAGTGTGGCTCCTGGGCGCTAGATATAGGCTGATGAGAGTGGGGAAATTTCCTTGAGAAAAAAAAAAAAAAAAAAAAAGACTTTAGGGGAAGTGACTTCTAAATCTTAAAGAATAGTTAAGGTATGTTACCAGTGCAAATTTGGACCATGCAAACG